CATTCTACACTTTTTACTGTGGCTAAAAAAAAAAAAATACATAACATAAAATTTGCTATAGTAGCTATTTTTTATATTAACCATTTTTAAGTATATAGTCCCATAGCGTAAAGTATATTTATATTGTTGCGAGGTAGATCTCCACAATTTTTTTCATCTTGCAAATCTGAAATTCTTTACCCATTAAACAATTCCTATTTCTCCCTCCACCCAGCCCCTGGTAACCACCACTTTATTTTCTGTTTTTATGACTTTGACTACTTTAGATCCCTCAAAATAGTGGAAGCCTACAGTATTTGTCTTTCTGTAACTCGCTTATCTCATTTAGCATGATGTCCTCAAGGTTCATCTATGACATAGCATGTGACAGGATTTCCTTCCTTTTTTTTTTTAATTTTTTTAATGTTTATTTATTTTTGAGAGAGAAAAAAGAAAGAGAGAGACAGAGTGTGAGTAGGGGAGGGGCAGAGAGAGAGGGAGACTCAGAATCTAAAGCAGGCTCCAGGCTCTGAGCTGTCAGCACAGAGCCTGACACGGGGCTCGAACTCACAAACTACGAGATCGTGACCTGAGCCGAAGTCGGACACCCAACCGACTGAGCCACCCAGGTGCCCCAGGATTTCCTTCCTTTTTAAAGCTGAATAATATTCTGTTGTATGTATATAACACATTTTGTTTATCCATCTATCAATTCAGGGACATTTGGGTTGTTTCTACCTCTTGGCTATTGTAGATAGTGCTGCTATGAATGTGGGAGTGAAACTATCTCTTCAAGATCCTATTTTCAAGGTGCCTGGTGGCTCAGTCAGTTAAGTGTCCAAGTTCGATTCAGGTCATGATCTCGGATTTCGTGAGTTCAAGCCCCGCGTCGGGCTCTGTGCTGACAGCTGAGAGCCTAGAGCCTGTTTTAGATTCTGCGTCTCCCTCTCTCTGTCCCTTCCCCGCTTATGCTCTCTCTTTCTCTCTAGTAAATAACTAAACTTTAAAAAAAGTTTAAGAAAAAGACCCTGTTTTCGATTATTTTGGATAGAGACCCAGAATGGCATTGCCTGATTGTATGGTAAGTTCCATTTTTAGTTATCTGAGGAACCTCCATACTGTTTTCCACTTGAACCATTTCACAGTCCCACCCACAGTACATGAGGGTTCCAGTTTCTCGACATCCTTGCTAACACTTGTTATTTCCTGTTGTTGTTGTTGTTTTTTATAGTAGCCATTCCAATGAATGTGAATATACATTGCTTTGTATAATTTCTTCTTCTTCTCTTTTCTTCCCTCAGCCTGGCCTGGGAGGGCAGGATTGTGGTGGTGGGTTTTGCTGGAGGAACCATTGCTTCTGTGCCGGCCAACCTTCTGCTCCTGAAGAATGTCTCTGCTATGGGGCTGTACTGGGGCCGATACAAAGAGCAGAACTTTCCCATCTTCTCCAGAATCCTGTCCTCTGCTCTTCAGTACTGCCAGCAAGGGCGCATCCAGCCACACATCGGAGCGGTTTTTAAGCTGGAGGAGGTGAGATGCTCTTAAGGGATGTGATGTGCCTAATGCCAGCACATAATCTGTGTCGAACGACTGGGTAGTTTCTCTCTGGAGCCCATAAATCCTCCTTTTATGCAATGAAAAGGTGAAAATGCAATGCAGAATAATGGAGTCTCACGGGCTGCAGGGCCACAGGATTTCTCCCCATCTTCTGGTTTGTACGGCCGTAGCCTCAGGCCTAGTGAGCCACCTGGGAAACCGAATTTGCACAGGCCATGAAGAAGCTGGCTATTGAGACTGTATGTATGTCATGGGTTTCTTAAACAGGGGGAAGTGATGGTGCTTTAGAAAATAATTTACCCGTGTTTAAATGAACTCTGAACTCCACAACATACAAGTCTAAGAAGCAAGCATTTAACTTGACCTTTGATTTTAGCATACAGACGCTTTAAAGTACAAATGATCTAAGCCGAGGTTCTGAGAACAAAACACTGTATCATGCCCAGCATCATAAGACTGTAATTCATCCATTAGTCACTGTAGTTAATTTTGTTGGCTGTTCACTCCCTTCTTTCATTCCCCCTCAGTCCCATTAATGTGGCTTAGACTTCCTCCCCTATAATTGTGTGCATGCATATGCAATATAGTTGTAAATGTGAATCTGTTAGGTATTCACTGTGAATTCACTGCGAAGCCTTTTCTTTTCCTTTTTTTTTTTTTTTTTTTTTTTTTTTTTTTTTTTTTTTTGTTTTTTTTTGGCTTCATTTGTTTTAACATTCAAAAAACTGTTTTGGTAGCTTGAGTCGGCCCTGGATGGGGCAGCGTTTTGTTCCCGTGCAGATTAGTTGAGCCCAAGCTGTCAGTGCCAGACTTTACTGCTCACCAGCCTTCCATATTTATTTTTATTTCCTGTGCTGGGGCATATTCTTCTCAAACATGATTTACTTTCTTCTTCTCCTTTTTGGTACGTCAGTCAAGAGGGTAGCATTTGGTGGTAAAAAGAGAACCTGACTGGCCATGGGAAAACTGGTCGGATTCTGTTTCCACCTGTGCCTTCAGTTGCTCCTTCGTGGAAGTCTCCAATGCCCTCCGACCATCAGTCTCCATGCCTCTGCAGCAGGTTATGTACTTCAGGGGCGGCAGTGTGCGGGGGTGGGCAGGTGACCCGAGCTGCCTGGCCTCTGGGACCCCATCTCTGCTGGGGTCTGAGTAGCTGCACATTTTTACCTTTTTGTTCATCTGTTTCTTGTGTTAAAAGGTTCTGTGGCTTAAAAAACTTGCAAACCACCAGTTTCCAGAATTGCTGAGTCCCCTTCCGTCTTGTGACTTTTATCATGTGCCTGTGAACCGAGGTTTGCTTTACCTAAAGCTCATGTATACCTGTCGATAGAAGATGAGGACAGTTAGGACAGGTACGGAAACACTTGCTAGTTTAAACAGTCTCTTCTCTCCACTGACGTGTTCTAAGTGCTGCTCAGGCATGAGAGAAAACCAGAGTTGGATTATTGTTTTAATCACTCACACTGAAGTTCTCTGTTCTTTTTTTTAATTAAAAAAATTTTTTTAATGTTTACTTATTTTGGGGAGATAGAGTGTGAGCGGGGAAGGGGCAGAGAGGGAGACACAGAATCTGAAGCAGGCTCCAGGCTCCAAGTTGTCAGCACAGAGCTCGACATGGGGCTCAAACCCACAAACTGTGAGATCATGACCTGAGCTGAAGTAAGATGCTTACCTGAATGCGCCACCCACGTGCCCCTCTGTTCTCTCTTTTTTAAAAGTTTACTTATTTATTTTGAGAGATACAGAGAGTGAGCAGGGGAGGTGCAGAGACAGGGGGAGAGAGAGAGAATCCCAAGCAGGCTCCACACTGTCAGCACAGAGCCAGATGTGGGGTGTGAAGCCACAAAACTTGAGATCATGACCTGAACTGAAACTGAGAATCAGACACTTAACTGACTGAGCCCCCCACGTGCCCGAAGTTCTCTCTTCTCTTAAACACAAATTAGCTATCTAATTACTGCCCTCCTATCAGCTTGTCCTCTCCTTTCCAATGAGGGCTCCACATGTAGGGTTTTTCTGATTCTTCCCACACTGCTGACCTTCCTGCTATCCCCGGGCCCTCTGAGACCATTCTCCCTAACAATTTCAAACATTTCATTCACACACCGTCCCTTTACTATTTCTTCTCTTTCTCTGTCTCTTTTTTTCAATATTCAAACCACATAGAGGGATAGTAATAATATAATAATGGCAGCTCCCATAGGTTAGGTGTATACTATGGGTCAAGAACGGTGCTAAACACTTTTACATGTATTTTCTCATTTCATCTTTGTGATGCTCCCTTGACGTGTGAGCCATTTTTATCACGTTTTACAGATGAAGAAATCAAGACTTGTAGGAGCTAAGAAACCTGCTTGATATTATATAGTAAGTGACAGACCTGGAATCCAGTCCAGGTTGGTTTGAAGCCAGATTCTGGGCTCCTTATGGCTAAGGCAGACCCTTTCCTCATACAAACGAGGAAGTTGCTTCTTAGAAACCTATTCTAGAGTATAAAGTTTGTTCATCTATCAGAGAAACCTATTCTAGAGTATAATGTTCATCTATCAGAGAATTATTATGTGAAAGAGCTATCTTATAGTTAAAACAACCAGGAATCTTGGATTTTTCCAAGCAGTACTGGAATTTATAGATTTTAGATTTTTAATTTAATTTAATTTACTTTTTAAATTTATTTTGAGAGAGAGTGAAAGAATGTGAGTTGGGGAGAGGCAGAGAGAGGGAGAAAGAGAATCTCAAGCAGGTTCTGCCCTGTCAGCACAGAGCCCAAATCAGGGCTCGATCCCACAAACTGGGAGATCACGACCTGAGCTGAAACCAAGAGTCAGACATTGAACCAACTGAGCCACCCAGGAACTCAGGTTTTATTCTTTTAAAATGAAGATGATTAAATGAATATATGTTGTTAATTTGACTTAACTGTAAAGCCTGGGTAATATTTTTTATGTAAATCAGTTAATGTATTAGAAAAAAATTATTTATCAGAACCTGCCTGGGCTTGGAAAATGACCTCTGTACGTATATACACCAGTATATACATACAATATCAGAGATGCTAGTGTTTCCTAGTTTGTGTTTTCTCCTGAATATGTGGGCTTATAGATTTGACCTTGGTAGTTGATATTAATATGACCACATACTTTGTACCATCGTCTTTTTAGTAGGCATGGGTATGAACTTCTGTAGCCCTCTGTGCTTTTTGTTCATGTACTCGTAATTACTCGATACTTGTCATTCCTATAGACTATGAACTCCATGTGGGCAGGGGCCATGCATCTCTTTGTCTCCAGATTCTGTCAGGTACTCATGTATCTGTTGAATGACTGATTGAGAGGAGGGGGCTGTAGGGTTAGACCGCCTGGGTTCAGATCCTGGCCCTACCTCTTAACTGGCTATGGGCAAATTACTCACATCTCTGTGCCTTAGTTTCCTCATGTGTGATAGGGACAGCAGTATACTCTGCATACTAAGGTGGTTATGAAGATCACATAAGATAACGCGTGTAAAAGCACATAGCAAACTCTTAATATATTGTTTAAGGCAAAATACCTCGCCATCATAAAATGGTTAGAGTTGAGCTTTTTCACGTCCCATGAACTGTAACACATATGTTGACATTTCGTGGGCAGGATTAGAGAAACAGCCTTTAGATTTTGAATTTTAATGTATTATTTGCTGAAGGGTTGCACCCGTGCCGTGATGGGTGGGCCATGAATGTGTCCCGTGATCTGTTCAGAGGATGGCCTTATTTAGATGTGCCAAGTCTGTGTTCTGTAGGGAGAAGCTCACACACATCTCAACTAGACAATATTTAAATCCTAGAGATCTGAGCTTGATTATTATACCAAGGTCAGGTGAGGTTACTACATGAATAGATTTGATAGATAGAAATTGTTTACTTGAAGTTTCCTGAGTGTATGTGTGGAATATTCTTTTTTATTTTAAGATAGACTTTCATGCCCAGCACAGATCCCAACATGGGGCTTGAACTCACAACCCTGAGATCAAGACCTGAGCTGAGATCAAGAGTTGGATGCTTAACAGACTGAGCCACCCAGACACTCCTATCTGTGGGCTATTCTCTTTTTTTTATTTGTTAATTTTGAGAGAGAGAGAGAGAGAGGGAGAGAGGGAGAGAGAGAGCATGAGCAGTGGAGGGCCAGAGCGAAAAGGAGAGAGAAAGAATCCTGAGCAGGCTCCACACCGCCGGTGTGATGTGGGGCTCAAACTCATGAACTGTGAGATCATGACCTGAGCTGAAACCAAGAGTTTTACACTTAACCAACTGAGCCACCCAGGTGCCCCATATCTGTGGAATATTCTTAAAAATTAAATTACTCTTTAAGTTAAAAAAAATTTTTTTAACATTTATTCATTTTTGAGAGACAGAGAGAGACAGAGTGCAACCAGGAGTGGGGCAGAGAGAGAGGGGGACACAGAATCCGAAGCAACCTCCAGGCTCTGAGCTGTCAGCACAGAGCCCAACACGGGGCTCTAACTCACGAACCGTGAGATCATTGACCTGAACCGAAGTCAGATGCTTAACTGACTGCACCACCCAGGCTCCCCTATGTTTAACTTTTAATAAGTGACCAACCGTTTATGAGAATGGTTGTATTCTTTTGCATTCCCACCAACGATATGGGAGAGTCTAGTTGTTTGCCATCTGCCAGAACTTTGTATTGTCACCTGTTTTTTTAATGGTGGCTGTCCCAGTAGGTTTATAGTGGTATCTGACTGTGGGTTTCATTTGCATTGCTCTATTGATCTTGAGTATGTTTTCACATGCTCATTTGTCATCTACCTCTTTTTTGGTAAAATGTATCGGCTGACTTTTATTTATTTTTTTATTTATTTATTTTTTTTTTTAATTTTTTTTTCAACGTTTTATTTATTTTTGGGACAGAGAGAGACAGAGCATGAACGGGGGAGGAGCAGAGAGAGAGGGAGACACAGAATCGGAAACAGGCTCC